AACTTTTTTATGTAATCAATTTTTCAATTTATTATTCATTTTTCTCGTCTATTTAATAAATGAATGAAATGAATTACAATTTGCTTAGTCTTTAAATAATGAAATAGTAATCTAAATAAAACACAGTTAAGGGACAGGCGTATAGTCATAGGCAGAGCGTGTAAACAGTAATAGGGGTTTAACTGTATAATAATGAAAGAAATATTGTATTAAATTAAAGTCATAATAAAGTCAGACATCAGTACACGAGACAAACAGATCATTAAACGCCGGGAAGAGAGTGTATGTAATATAAGAGACTTTTCTCAGGTATTAGACTCTGTAATAAAGCCAATACTAAGTACTGTTAGATAATACAGCAATTGGTGTGTAATACAGAAGATTGAGTGTAATATACGGCCAAACCATACGGTTCTGCAAATGAATCTTAAACTACACTCAAATAGAGAGAGAAAAGTATATCATATAACGTATTGTACAGCTCTTAGCACTTATTGTATTCTAGTTTTTGTTGATTATTATTACACTTTAAGCGTGACTTTAATATATTTAGACGAGAGATAAAAGTGAGAAAACGGCAGAAATATTAAAATCGTTTTGACAAGAGATATATATATTTAATATATTATATATCTCTGATATAAATATATTATAAATACATATAAAACGGGTGAACAGAGAGTGCAATAACTTTCGGTAATATTATTAAATTCCTTGAATATTCCCAACAATCTCTCTCTCTCTCTCTCTCTCTCTCTCTCTCTCATCATTCACTCACTATTTATTTGATAGTCTCCCTATTGAACATTACTTTCAATTCATTTTATACATAGTTTTGCACTTTTAATAACTTTTTCCTTTAATCAAAGCAAACAGAAAACTTTGAAAACATTTGTTTGGCCTCTAATTCATTATAGCAGTGATAATGAAATAATGGGAAAATATTCTTTAATTAACGAAATGTTTTGCTCACAAATATATTACTTATTCTTATAGTCATAATGTTTTGGCAGTAATTTCAAAAATATTGTTTTGTAAATGGAGTTTAATTAAAATGAAATGTTTATTATTAGCCAAAGTGTTTAGACAAAGAGAAAATGAATTGAACCTAAACTGTCTATCATGCTATCTAAACGCTTATATGATATTTTGTTTTTTAATACTTTAATGGATCCAAAAATTTTTAATAAGTGATAATTTCTAGGCTTCAACAAATAAAGTGCATGCTATCGTACATTCTTTACTTAAGGTTTTTGTTATTATTTGAATCAAATCTAAATATATTGTGCTCAGGAAAAAGTTTTCAAGAAATTTCATTAGTTTAATACTCGATGTGAAGTCATAGGGAGAGTGGTTTGTTTTGGCGCACGTGCTAACAGTGCTAACACAGTCTAACTGTGCAGTGGTAATGGTTGTGATGGTAGTAGTGATGGTAGGAATGGTAGGAATGGTAGAGCGGGTGAGTAGTAGTGGTGAGAGAGCAGTGCACTTAACATGGGATACGATGAACGAGTAGTCAGTTGTTTGGCAGCACTGCTAACGATAGGTCGCAAACACTTCTCGATATTGTGCTACACTTGACATTACGGTGCGAATAGAGAGTGCGATACCAATAGAGTTAGAGTTTGTTGCAGTTGTCAGAGTTGTGCCGATTCTGCAATACTTCGTCCCCTTTGCTATGGTTTCGCATATTATGTGATCTCATCGACGGTTTGTCTCTTGTATGCGAAGACAGTATCAAATCAGAGACAATACGAGCCATAAGTGTATATCTGGTAATGAGTGACAGAAAACTTTGATTGAGTTAAAGTGTGTCCCAAAAGTCATAACCGTCTCTAACTGAGCGATTATTGCTATAATAGTAGGGTTTGTGTGCAATACATAATACATACATAAGTTGTGCATTACTTGTATTACTTGTCAATTGTCTGTATTTGTGAAGTTTGAAAGCAATTGTGAAGTTTGAAAGCAATTCTGTGTTCAGATTGATTATGAGATCAAAAAGCAAAATGTCAGCAATAAATAAGTCACTGAATAATTCAAAGCAAAATATGGCCAGTAATAGTATGGGTGCCACTGCCTGTGCCACGAGCACCGCCACCGCCATCACCGGTAATAGCGCCGGTAACCCGAGTCTCACAGCCGGTCCCAACTCGATGGTCGGCAATGACATCGTCAGTGCAAGTCATGTGCCATCCCTTCAAAGTGTGTCGTCAGCCAAATCGGGATCAACTAATGCTCCCGAGTGTTACGGATGTCATAAAGTCATTAAAGAGCGATACCTTCTCAAAGCACTCGACCATCTCTGGCACGAAGACTGTCTCAAGTGTGTCTGTTGTGACTGTCGTCTCGGAGAAGTCGGATCCACTCTCTTCACCAAAGCTGATCTCATTCTCTGTAAACGCGATTATCTCAGGTCTTAATCATTCAAATGCTTTTCACAAACATTTATTGCATTCAAGCTTTTCTCCACTCTTTCTAAACATGTTATGAAAAAACTACAAATTCTTTACTTTTTTTGCTTAGCTTTAAGAAAATCAATGATAAATGTCTTACAAATAACTCATTTTTCTCGGTTTTTATTATTTTGGGGTTAATTTTGTTTTAAATTAAAAAAACATTTTCGAGTAGTTTTTTGCCAGAGATTCAGAACTTAATTAGATATCACGTGAAGTTGGGATTAGTTTTATTTGAATGCCTTAACGCTGAGTGCAATTAATCAACACAACTATTATTTTCAAATAAAAAACTAACTTTTTTAAACAAAACATATATTTGTACGAATCGATATTTGAAATGATATAAAAATTTGTATTCAAAATATCATTATTCCCTCATTACGATTGATATATGGCACGTATATCTCGATAATTTTAAAAACTAATAATTTATACCGAATAAGGATTTTGATGACAAATTTTTTCCAATGAAAACCATAATATAGAGTGAAATGATAGTCGATTTAAAAGTAATAATTATATGTTTGATGATTGAATAGGATGTTTGGTGCGACCGGTCTGTGCTCGGCCTGTAATAAACAAATACCAGCCTTTGAAATGGTTATGAGAGCGAGAGGTAAGACCTTATGTGTCAAAATATATTTCATATCATATTAATATTTATTTAACATTTCATTTTACCTTTTTTTGCTTGTTTACGTTACTATCAATACATCTCTCACACAACGCACACTTCATATTTAGTCTTAAATTAAGAAATCTTTAGTTATTATGTATTATTTGAGCAGAAAATGAAAAATTAATTAACTTTTCTTTTGTTATGTACTGATGAACGGAAATAATCGCTCAAAATATGATATTTTAATTAAAAGGGAATAAGAATTTGTGATTCAATCAAGAATTTCGTTTAATTTAATGCAACGATTAGCGCGACTTATGTTTATTTTATTAAATAATAAATTAGTTTTAATATAACTTCAATCACCGAAAAAAGGCCAAAACATACATCATAGAAAACTCATAAAACATTTCATATTAAGAAAATTAAATTCTTTACAAATTAAATTTTTTCCAAATTAAATTTCTCGATATAACAAAAAGCAACAAAAAATATTAAAATATTAATTAAAAATATTTGTGTTATTTATTTTGTCTCTATTAAAGGAAACGTGTATCACTTGGAATGTTTCAAATGCGAGGCCTGTTCTCATGTAATTATATATTCATTTCCATTAAATTAATTTTCTAAATGTTTTCGCTATATATACCACATATGATTGACAACTAATTAAATATATTGAATATTAATGTCTCTGTGTTTGTAATATTAACTCAAAATGCAGAGGTTTTGTGTCGGCGACCGCTTCTACTTATACGACAATAAGATTTTGTGTGAATACGACTACGAAGAGCGGATGGTTTTCGCAAATCTCAATCAAATGACATCTTTGGATCACATTAAGAGACAGACACAAGAGTTGGTCGAAGTGTGTGACGGATCCAGCGGTTACGCCAGTGGGGACTCACCCTTTGAAACGAATCGGTAGGATATTTATGACATAAAACACAACCATTTAATCAAATATCTAATGACTAAATGAGTGGAAAACGCACCAAGCATTTTTTTGTATAATATTTAATATATAAAAAACAATTTTTCAAAACCATGTGTTAGTCAACTCGCATAACAAAATTCTCAAACAATTTGATTAAAATACATATAATTAAGAAAAGTCTCATTTAAAGCGAGTCTAATATATCATTGACTGTAGGAATATAAGCACAGAAATTAATTACATGAATACAAATTGAAAACATTTTCCAAATATAATTATTTAAAGACTAATGCATTGAAAGACTTGGTTTTTAATCAAGAATTGTTGTAATAATTGCGATCACATAAAATGAAAATCCATTTCATTCATTTATTATACTTTTCAAAGATATGAAACTTTTATGGAAACTTGTATCTCTATATTGAATTCATTTTGTGTTGACATTCATTGCATAATATTTTAATTATATTTATAACAATATTCTTCTCTTCAAACGATTGGCGATCGAAATGACAGACAATTAATAATAAATTAGTGAATCGACACAAAAAATGTAAATTTGTGTCATATATTGTCGGATAGACATTGATATAAGTTAGACATAAAACACCTTCTCATGCGTGTAGAGCTCCGGTCGATATAATAAAGTAATTGAAAATTAAAATACCATTCATTTAATTAATTTTTGCATCAAAAGTATCGCCATTTCATTAGAAATTTAAACTCTAATTAATTGTCTAATTGTTTACATTTGAGTTTGAAAAGAAATTTATTTATATTGAAATATTCTCGTCTATTTATTATTCACTGGAAAAACTTCAATTAACTTTTTTATGTAATCAATTTTTCAATTTATTATTCATTTTTCTCGTCTATTTAATAAATGAATGAAATGAATTACAATTTGCTTAGTCTTTAAATAATGAAATAGTAATCTAAATAAAACACAGTACTGTACTGTACAGACAGTTAAGGGACAGGCGTGTAAACAGTAATAGGGGTTTAACTGTATAATAATGAAAGAAATATTGTATTAAATTCAAGTCATAATAAAGTCAGACATCAGTACACGAGACAAACAGATGATTAAACGCCGGGAAGAGAGTGTATGTAATATAAGAGACGTTTTCTCAGGTATTAGACTCTGTAATAAAGCCAATACTAAGTACTGTTAGATAATACAGCAATTGGTGTGTAATACAGAAGATTGAGTGTAATGTACGGCCAAACCATACGGTTCTGCAAATGAATCTTAAACTACATGATAATAGAGAGAAAAGTATATCATATAACGTATTGTACAGCTCTTAGCACTTATTGTATTCTAGTTTTTGTTGATTATTATTACACTTTAAGCGTGACTTTAATATATTTAGACGAGAGATCAAAGTGAGAAAACGGCAGAAATATTAAAATCGTTTTGACGAGAGATATATATATTTAATATATTATATATCTCTGATATAAATATATTATAAATACATATAAAACGGGTGAACAGAGAGTGCAATAACTTTCGGTAATATTATTAAATTCCTTGAATATTCCCAACAAAACTAAATTAAATTATTGATAAAANAGAGATATATATATTTAATATATTATATATCTCTGATATAAATATATTATAAATACATATAAAACGGGTGAACAGAGAGTGCAATAACTTTCGGTAATATTATTAAATTCCTTGAATATTCCCAACAAAACTAAATTAAATTATTGATAAAATGAATATTAATATATTGTGAACGCATTTTTATCTAAAGATATTATATAAAAACACACATTTTTGTGAATACTATTTGATGTACAGTTAAATTCATGTGTAAATAAGAAATAAAACAATAAAAATAACAATTCTATTGTAATTCTCTTAACTATTAATTTAATTAAAAGAATTTATTTCCAAATTATTAAATTAAAGTTTACGTAATCAACCAATTTACTTGTTACAATATTAAACTAGCTACTACTTTTGCTATAAGTTAAAACAATAACTTATGTAACTTACAATATGCCATTTAATTGGTTAACATGAGTTTCTATATCAAAACCTTTTATAAAAGCCCTTTTGGGAGGAATTTAAACTCTAACACAAAAGCATGTTAACAAAACTAGGATAATTTAGATCAAATGAATCATGAAATGATCATATTGATTTTTTAAATAATACTTATAAATATTATTCAGCAAAAGTATAATTAAAATGAATATTAATTAATTAGTTCTTCTATATATTTGTAATAGTCATGAATGCGAGGCATAATAGACATCATTAAATCAATTGTTTGAAATAAAAATACAGATCATGCAGTGATTTACTATTTTTAGACTTAATTCATCTATATTTGCATAAAAAGTCTACAAATGAAACAAAACACTAAAACAAATACAGTAAGTGATTAACAAAATGTGCTTACTTATACAGGTTGCCAATAGATTGTATTGCTATTTATAATTTGCTACACAGAAAACCTTTTACTGAATATCCTAACCATAATAATTATAACATTTATGTTAATTATTTTGACTTAATTTTATAAATGATTATTATTTAACTAATCTTATAGTTTTCATTTAGTTAGAATTGCCTTGACATTTATAGATTAAAGTTATTTTTATACATTATGCTTACTGAACAGTAGTTTCAAGTTAATATGTTTCTATATGTTACTGACCAATACTGTATCACACACTCGTATATTATAATACATGTTTAGATAAGTAACACAAGCTTTGGTCTTAAATTGGAAATCAATTTGCAATAAAAAATAATATGTTAGTCATTATATGGGTCTGAGAAAAGTGTGTCCAATGGTGTGTCCAATGGTGTGTCCAATGGTCTGGAGTGGGAATGAATAGTCAATATTTGGGACTTAATGTAATACACATTGGAGTTGAATGAGCGCTCATTTGAGTGCTTTTACCGCTATATTATCGTATGGTTTGACACTTAAGTCCACGTTTTGATGATCTTATGATGCATTTCATATGCAATGAAAGTGTTTTGTCATCTCATGGATGGCCATTAAATAGCATTAACTTGTATTTCGGCGAAAATCTCGCTGAAGGCCTACAATTCGCGGCACTTTTGTACGGAAACGGACGACCATTAAAGGTGTTATCGCGGTTTGATTTAAGCATTTCCATCCATTTATACATAACACTGCACTTCACTATCAGTACAGACTCTCTATTAGAAAGCAAATCAGTGGCGTATTTATAGCAAATACCACTCAACACAACGTTTATATCATACCAAATGGGAAAAAGTTTTGCATTTTTGTTAAAAATACTTTAGAAATGTTTCCACATTTAGATAAGAAATATATAGAGTTATAGTTAAGCGATAAGTTCGCGATTAGAGGCAAAGATTGATGTTTCGAGAATATTTGACTGGTTTTCACAAATTAGTCAAATTTATTTCACGTAAAACTTAATGACTTTTGTTTTGCTTACTTTTAATTAGAGAATCACTTATTAATGAGTAAACGAACGGTTAATGTGTTATGAGATGTGAAGAGTTGTATTGAAATAGTAGTGAAGGAGTGAAGAGAGAAGACGCCTCTCATCCCAGTCTCCTATCTATGAGTCGTTTCAATGGGAATAGAGTTAGAGTTAAGGGAGAACTGAGAACTCAATTCTCGGTTAACCGCAGCCAACAGTCAACAGAGAGAGAGAGAGAGAGAGAGAGAG